TCGGAAATTACTTTTGTAATAATCATATAGTAGTTCATAAAATAAATAGAAGCAGAATCGCTTAAATTCAAAAAAATTTAAATATAAATTAATAAGTTACCTGCAATAATTACATTTATATTTTTTAATATTTTTATCTAAAGTAAAATGCAGATGAACAATAGACTTAAAATTAGATTTATCATCTATATCCATATCTATATTTTTTCATTTACTTGACTAGTATTAGCTTCATTTTCACAATATTATCTTTATTAATAAAATTAATTTCATCTCTTTCGTGATTAGAGCTAATATTATCTAAAGTATTATCATTAATAATTTCAGAAAAATTATTTTCAACAATATAATTTTCATCAAGAAAAGTATTATTTTCTTCAGATTCTATATTTAAATTCTATAAATATAAATTTATTATAAATATAAATTAATATTTTATAATTTAAAATAAATTAAACCAATTATTATATAATAATACTGCTCATTTTATAAACAATTATTTTATAAATATTTAGTTAATAAATAATTATTTTACAAAAAAATATATTTTATAATAAGCTTTTAGATAAATTAATTATTTATAAACTCAAATTTAACAAACTTTTTTTATTTAAATTTTATGCATTAGCAAAATTTAAAAAAAAAAGTTTATTAATATTTGTCTAGCAGTTGCTAAGATATTTTGCTTAAAGTTTTAAAAAAACTCAACCCATTTATTAAAACTCAAATTTTAAATAAAGATATCTTAATATTATCAAGTCAAAATTAATAAATATTTTTTTATTTAAATTTTAAAAATAAGTTTGCTAAGATATTTTTATTAAATTTTTAAAAAACTCAGTGTCTATAAATAGAAGCTATACTAAAAATTTAAACAGAGATATCTTAGTAACTATCATGTCAAATTTGATAAACTTTTTTCTTATTTAAATTCTATAAATCAAATAAAAAAGTTTATCAAATTTGACTTAGTAGTTGTTAAAATATCTTCATTTAAATATTAGAAAATTTTAATACAGCTTTTAATATAATAATTGTTATACTAAAGATATTATTGCAAGAATCTTTACATACTAAACTAAGCCCAAGGACATATTGTTGCTATTTAAAGTTAGAACAAGAATAAAAAAGAAATAGATACAATATAATGAGAATAAAAAATTAAAGATTAATAGTGTTATTTTTTTTTGCTACCTGGTTTTGATCTGGCTCTTTTATAATATTTTATTAGCAAACATTAAAATAAAACAATAAAAAAAACAGTTATTATATCAGAATCAAACCTTTCAGAATGTAAATAATTTAGAGGATATTTATTAGAATCTGGGGTTGATTGCAAATGGCATAAAAAAATTTTGTTACAGTAAGTAGTTATGATTGAGTTAGTTTGTATTGGAATTATGATATTTATTGTGAGTTGTGATAAAAAAATTCTGTTGCAAAACTTACTTGCTATTTATGATTTCTGTTTTAAAAGAATATGATTTCTATTGTAGGCTGCTTAAAAAAATTCTATGACTAAACTTACACTATTCTAGTAATACACAGTATGTAGTAAAAGATAAGTTAGTTTACTTTGAAGTTGTCATTATTTTTATTATAAGCTAATGTAATAACTCTGTTGCAAAACATACTTTATTCTAATAATATACAATATTTAGTTAAGAATAAGTTAGTTTGTATTGGAAATTATTATAATTTCTATCATAAAAAAATTTTATTACTAACTTACTTGCAATTCCAGTGACATACAGTATGCAGTAAAGAATAAGTTAGTTTTCTTTATAATTACCATAATTCTTATTATAAGTGCAATAAAACCAAAAATAGTTCTATTCCAAAAATCCCAAAAATCCCAAAAGACAGACTCTCAAAAAGGACATAATACTGACAAAGTTAGCTAGCATTAGTTATAATGCTACTAATTTAGTCAGTATTATGTTCTTTTAGAAAAATGACCTTCAGAATTTCAGAATAGAATCATAAAAAATTCTTTTACAAATTTTGAGTTACCGTAAGAATTCTGTTACTGAACTTGCTCATTATCCTGATAATAACATATAGTCAAAGTTGTATTATTTTGCATTAGAATTATTATAATCTTCTAATCTCTACTATAAGGTATTGTAAAAAAATTATAATAAGAACTTACTTGTGCTTTACTGATTATTGAATATAAATATGTTTTTTAAAAAAAATATTTATAGTAATATGTTATGTTATTTAATATATATAATGCAATTATGCATATATAATATAATTGAATAAATAAAAAAAATAAAAACCTGTTTTCAAAAATATTACACCTTCATTATAGATTATTCAGAACTGTTAGCATAGAAAAAAGTTATTTGGTACCTGCAATTTACTTATTCCTCAACCTTGCCTTATTATAAGAATATAAAAAAAAAAGAAAGATAAAGTGTAATTGAATACAGATTAAATTAATGAATATTGGGTATATACCAGAAGACAAGTTTTCTAATATGTACTCGATAATCATTGATTTAATCTGTAGAAACTAATAAAATAAAGAAAAATAAGATGTAAAGCAAAACTAAATAAAAAAAAATCATATACATATATATGTGTTTTAATTAATTTTTACTCATCACACAGATACAAGAATAATACTTTTATAGGCATTGAGTTTTTAAAATTTGATCAATTCAATAAACTTTTTTATTTAATTTTATGAATTCTTAGAATTCAGATAAAAATGTTTATTGAATTTGGTTTGGTTAGAATTAAGATATTTTTGTTCAAAGAATAAAATAATTGTATTGATAAATATTTTGAATTTTTTAAAACTTTGAACAAAAATATCTCAGCAACTACCTGGCAAATTTTAATAAACTTTTTTTATTTGAATTCTACAAATGCATAGAATTCAAATAAAAAAAGATTATTAAATTTGACTTGGTAGTTGTCAAGACATCTTTGCTCAAAATATAATATAAAACTTTAATTTGTATGCGGTAATTTTCAATAAATAATAGCAAATTTAAATAACAATAATTTAAGAATCTAATACATATATATTAATAATTTAATTGATTAAAAGTTTAATTAAATAAATATAGCAAAAATTTGATATTGAGATAAAAAACAAAAATAGTATTTATATAATACAGTCTAACCTCTCTATAATCACACCCCTCAGAATAAAGATTTGTGTGATTGTAAAGAGAATTTTAATAAGATGTGCTTATAAAGAAGTTTTTTTTCTATATGTTTATAATAGTTAGTTTTAAAATAAATGTACTTAAAAAGAGAATATTTATATGATGTGCTTATATAGAGGGTGACTATAGAGAGGTTTGACTGTATTGATTAAATATGATATGCAAATTTATTAAATAATTACTGATTTGTTTTATACAAAATAACTAATACGGAGGTGTGGCAGCTTGGTGAAGTGGTCAAGTCGTCACTCTCTCCAAGTAGCAGGTCTAGGGTTTAAATCTCACTGACAATGAAAGTTTGGAAAATGGCTTGCGTTACAGTAACAGATCTTCATTAAAGTTGGGGCTTAAATTAACCTGTAACCTCAAGTTACACCAATACCCTGTATTGGAAAGTTGTCACTGCTGGGGCATCTGCGTACTGCTGAGCGGATATAGGATGTCTTGGCAGTGTTGGTAATACCAAGGAACTAGAAGGTTCTGGAACCTGCTTGGCAAGTCCCGAGTTGGGAGTAGTAGCGATCTTCGACGGTATCACATGAAGGCTGAATTCGAACTGGGACCTGGGATTGGAGAACTGTAGAACCAGGTCCTTTAGTAGGGGACACACTAGCCGAACCACCGGTTTA